CAAGACAGCTTTGAGGAGAGGCCAGAGCTGACTTCTATGGCTGAGATCAGAATCCCAAAGCTTCTGAGAGATGTATAGCTCACAGCCAAGTAAAGCTGAAGCTTCTAAAATGGCAAATACACCAAGTCTAGCATCCTTAACCATCTCCTGTGGCTTCCAACATCTGGGGTGAAACTAGGAGGGTGGAGCATTAGGGAAATTCTTTCAGAGCTCCCTCCATGGTATGATTGGGATTTCCCAAAGCAAATACAGAAGCAGCACGTTATTTTGTTTTAAGATAAAAATCAATCGACTCCAGGCCATTAAGTTATTACCGTATCTGATACATGTGACATGAGGCCCATCTGTGCCCCAGCCTCACAGTCATTTAGAGTTAAAATCACTGTGCATGCTTAACACTACACATTTTTGTTAAATATAACGTTGTCAGAAATAATAGATGCCCTAGGATATAAACCTAAAATAACATGGAAATTTTAGTCAGGTAATCTTTATTTAAACTAAAAATAACCTTAACAGTAGTTTATATAAACCTCAAGTAGCGAGACTCTCAGCCCAGTGCTAGTTCATCAAGCTGTAAATTTATGAGGCATTTACTTAGCATTTAACATTTTAAACCAGATCGAGCATGATCTATATTAGAGACAAGTTCCAGAAAGCCAAGAATTCCACTCATGGCTAATCCTGCTGACTGGAACATTCCTCAGGGAAGTCCTCTGAGGGCCGCCAGAGGTAAACACTCACCAAATGCACCACATGTTAGTGGGTTAGATCCTGTGAGGAATGGAGAGGGGTCAACAGCATACTCCACTTCTTGATCACTTCTATAATCATCCCGTGTGTCTCCTGAGAGACCAACTTCTCTGGCCAGGAGAGTCTGATAGTATGGGGAAAGAGACTGGTGTTATAACCAGTCTGACCACCAGAGAAAACTTGGAAATGGTTCCAAGCCCAACATTCCTCTCTTTGTCTGAGGTGAGACCACCCTCTTGTGGCTTGAATCCCCTCAGAGGGTGGTTTGCAAACATCCTTGTTGGTTGGGAAAACCCATCAGATGTTTGCTCAGGAGATCCCAGCCTGAGAGGACAAGAGGCACTCATCACAGCACAAATACAGACAAGTAATTGGAGTATTCATTCTCCATAGGATTATGATCTAGATTTGAAAAGTTTTCACATCCTGAGGTGGGTGATCCTTCTGATCCTGGCCAAATTGTTGGCAGCATGAAAGGAGGTTTCAGAGAATTCCCATGGAGAGTTGGAATCTCTACAGGGATTTAACCATTTCTGAAAATACAGTAAGGCTGTGTCGATTTGTGGAATGTTAAGTGGGTAGCAATGGACATGCTCATCCCACTGCAACTAAGCATGCCTTCCATACATGGGCTATGAAAGAAGAGAAGGTTTTTGTGGTGGAGGATTTGGGGAACAGGTGACAAGTAGAGCCCCTGCACAAGCTCTCAGATGATTTCCCCCAAGGACCCCGCTCAGAATCCCAGAACCATACATCTTCCAAAAGCATCATTAATGTTCACTGCAGACGACTAGGACTCTGATGGAGTAGTTTGACCTGATCCACAAGCATTAGTTAAACCTCATCAAAACTGAAGATGGAAGCTGGTGCTGCTTTTTAAATTTAATGTGACATTTTATTTTTATAACCTCTGCATGTTTCACAGAGTATTTTGGAATCCATCAAAGTTTTCCAAACCTTTACCCACTTGAAAGCACCACCAACTGTATTTAGGTATCCAATCACATTTAAGGTATTCAATTTATGATATCCTTTGATAAATATACTTGAAAATCCAGTCAGTTTCTTTAAAAGTTAACATGAAACAGAGGAGTAAAGGGATATCAGGCAAAAGAGGAAAAAGTTGATTTCACTTAACATAGTGTCTGTAAGATTCATCCATGTGGTTGCATATTGAAGAATTCCCGTTTTATGGGTGAATGATATTCCACTTGTTGTGCCCAGATTACGAAGTCCCAAAGACCACCAGGAGGCCGTTTCCGATGTAAGCACACGAGGGTCGTTTATTCAAGCTTAAGCAGGGACTCTCAATTGTCACCGACACAGCGGATCAAGATTGAGAGCTCCGAGTTCCAAATTAGCAGGGTTTTTATTGAAATTACAGCAAGCTTCGGTCATTAGCAGCCATATGATTGGTTAACATTTAGCAAGTATGAAGTGTAGAATTTTGATTGGCTAGGCTCATTGGGGGTTGAAGGGGATTACGTATAGGTTTTTACAAGAAAAATGGGGACAAAGGTTAGTGGTCTACTGTCACGTACTGATGGTCAGCAGACATCTTGACTAATGGTCATGACTACCTTGTGTGGATAGTCAGCATGTTAACAGATTGTCCTATAGATAGTGGGCCCAGGACACTTGTTTCTAGGGCAAACAGATGGCTGAGTCATGAGCTTAGGAATCTTGAGTTACAGATCATGTCTTTTGTCCCAGATTAAGCACATTTAATCATTAATTTGAAAGAACAAAGGAGACTGCTCCATTTTGGACAAAATGGAGTCATTCTGGTCTCACATTAGCAAAATGGAGTCACTTTTGGTCTCACACCCTGTATGTACATCAGTGTACATTTCAGTTGTGTTCACATCTTAGCTGTCGTGCATGATGCTGCCAGGAACATGGGAATGCTAATATCTTTTAGATCCCGATTTCACTTCTTTCGGAAGCTAACCAGAGATGCTTTCAATTATTCTGCTGAACAGTCCACCACGGTACTAAATTAACACATGCATCATAGATGGGTTCTCCATTTTGAGGGCACATTTTTCAGTATTAAGGATATAATGCCCTTGCTGAATATCTACTGAGTGCCTGCTATGGGCCAGTCACTGATGGAGAAGCTGCCTTGTGGGAATCAGGAGAATGAAAAGATGTGTGGGAATCCAGGAAGAAGGCCTAAAGTTAGGTAGAGATGTCTGCACTGATAGAAGTATGGCCATCAACACCCACAGACACACCATGATAGTTGCTCAATTGACCAGTTAACCCATTAACAATTGACCAATTAACCAAAAACTGGTTCAAGTGGAGAAACATCAAGAAGTAAGACTTAAATGCCTTAAACATTTTAACTTAAGCTATAAAGTAGGGTTTTAAATATTATATAGTATATATTATTATTAATATTTAAATATTGTAGTTTTTCGCTACTTTTATGATACAGAGGGAGAGCCTTATCTTTGAGGATATCTGCCAGCTGGACTTCCATATCACCACCTTTACTCAAAGCATGTTTGCAATGTGAATTTGAATCCAGCTTATTTCACATATTTGTAGATGTGGCAAGAGTGTAAAAGACCCTTAGGAAGCAGTCTGGAAACACAGTTTTGCAGTTCAGTCCTCATCTTTTGCTTTGTTTTGCCTGAACCCATTTTGGCAGCAGTGTGTTTTAGCCACTAGCCAAAATCAGTTTTCATGGAAACAGCTTTGCTTTTGCACTCATGTTTCATTGATTAACCTAACATGTAACCACATGTGTGACTTGCAATGAAGAGTATCTCTGGCACCAGAAGTTGTGAGAAAACAGTTGACCCTTGGTGAATGCGCCCTCCTCGACCCATGGGAACAGAGTCAGAGAGGGCTCTGCTGGCCCAAGATCCAGGGTGCATTGTCCCCACGCAATGTATTTTGCAGAGGAAATGGTGGCTTTGGCTTTGGCTGCTCTTGCTCCACGTCCGATCTAGCCAAGGAGCCAGGGATGTGCGGGGCTGCAGGTTTTACAGAGAAAACCGGAAGGGCTTCTCTTGGGGGGCTTTCAGCAGTAAGCAGCAGACAGGGGAACCGAAGATAGATGGCGAGAGAAGGAGAATGAGGAAAATGGGGCTCCAGAGAAGCACCTCTGACCTTTTTAATATGTATCTCCTCTCTGTCTTTTCCCTGTGCTCCATTACCTGGCACTTGAGAAATACCTAACAAATAGCTTTTGAATGAATGAAAGTACATTTGTTTTCTCTACCATTGGGATTGTTGACAAAGAGCTGGCACCCTTATGCCCAGTATGTCCCTCTCCTGGAAATCACAGGTCAGCAAACTACAGGCCCCCTGATCTTGTGTGATCTGCCATTCAGCTCACTGTAATAATGCTGTGTGCAAAAGTAATATCACTGTTCCGCTTACAGTGTGTGGTCAGCTGCGTCTGCCCTGCCAAGCCTCCTGGTGTCTCTCAGATCCAGTTGGGTGGGGCAGGGGACAGTAATGATCTTGGTGGACCCTGGTACAGAAATGTGAAAGATAAAAGCCCACACTTACTTATGAGTTTGAGGCCCTGAACTCATGACATCTGATAAGTCAAAGTCTTGGCTGGTTCCCACTGAACTTTAGCACTATGACGTATCTCTGAGGAGCACAAAACACTTGGATTACAGACAAAGGAAGCTTAGTCATCAGAAGCTTAAAAGTTTAAGAACTATAATATCACAGTTAATATAATTCATTCATTTATTATTATTGAATATGTACATTACAATATTCAGAACAAAGAAATGGTCAAAGGAAACTCTAACTCCATGACTTTGCTTTCATTAGCATAACTCTTCCTACAGTACTGTAATGGATAAGAGTGATGGTGAACCTTTTAGAACTTTCAGTAACAAACAGCCAGCTGTGGCATGCATGCCATATATTCACCACCACTGGTAAAGCAGAACATAAAGTCACAGTGTTATACTGTACAGTACAATCAGCAGAAACTATAGTACTGTACTGTACTGTAGAGGAAGCCACCATAAGGCCCCACGGCTGCTCAGCTTCCTGCATTGTGAGTCTGAAATGTGGGTCAGAAGTCCAAGGGGTGAGTCGAAAGTCCAAACAGTGTGCCTCAGTACTAAGTCCAAACATTTGTTAAACAGGTCATTAAACAAGGACTGTCTGCACTTAAGACTGAATTTCAGTGCACTTTATACACTTGAACCTGGACCTGTACATGAGACGCTCCTAGCATAGTGTCCTTTTCTCTCCTCTTTTAACAGCCTGGGGATGAACCATGATGATGATCACTCGTCCTGCGCTGGCCGGTCACACATCATGTCAGGAGAGTGGGTGAAAGGCCGGAATCCCAGTGACCTCTCTTGGTCCTCTTGCAGTCGAGATGACCTGGAAAACTTCCTCAAGTAAGTCATCGGATTATTTTGTAGCATCAGAACAATAGGAAGTTCTTCAAGAAGACAAAATGGAGTTCAGCAAGAATGAGGAGGAATGAATCTCTTGTTGAATCCTTAGGTGGCCTGAAGAAGTGGTCAGTGCAGAGTCCCCTGTAATAGGAAAACACCTCCTCCCAAGCGTGCATTGGGTACCACGTTGAGTAGTCAGTCTCTGCCCATTAAATACTTATCCCTTGATGGAAATATCAGCATAGTGACCCTGTCTTTAAAACCCATTGCACTTACCTGCGGTCCGTGACCTTGAGTGGACACTGCTTTAATGATGCCACTTCTCTGCCATGGAGCCAGGCACTTCCTGCCTGCTATGGCTGCTTGCCTGAGGGAAGTAAATTTGCTGGGAGAGGGGGTGGCTCACTGAGAGGGGGAAGGAGTGAATATCTCTCACTGCCACTTTCTTCCTAGAAGATAACCACATCATTCTGTTGCCAGGCTTCTGCATTAGAATTGGCCATCTGGTCTCAAAATTTATCAAATCGAGTGAACCCGTGGGCCATGCCAATCCCTTAGTGTCGAAACCAAAAGAGTAGATTTATAGCCTTGATGCAGTGTATTTACCTTGATCATTTCCCTACTTAGTTGTGTTAATCCATTTGCCCTGCTGAAATGGAAGTGCGTCCCTGAGTGCTACCCGCATAGGAAGCTTTATAGTCCAGCAATACATTGAAATACCCAGTGTGACTGCGGGAAGTGACAAAGGAACATCCTGGGTCTTTCTGCATCTCTCCTGTAGCTGGAGAAATTGTTCAAGCAGTAAATAGACTGCAAAGAACCTGTTAATTTTAATATAGTCTACTTATTTGAGTCTTTGCTGTCACACAATCATAATAAAATGTTGTAAGCTACCTGATGTTACTTTACCCAGAAGGGTCAGGACAACGGAACAGGGTGCTTTCATTTGCTCATGTAAGTCCCACTGGTGACAGGTGATGTAAGTGTGAGCCTGGACCAGCCACATCTGTGTGTACTTCTGCACATGCAACCCTTTAAGAGTTTTGGCAGATGGCTGGGTTTTCTTTTTACTACCATCTGCCTTGCTTTAAGAATAGAAAAATAAAGGTACTTAAGTATTTAACCTTCTAATAGAGCCCACTTTTGGGGAAATGTACCTCTTGTTGTAAGTGAACTACCTGGAAACAGGAGGTGTGGCCAGGTGACCCACTGAATCCAGCACACCTGCCACAGCCCAGTAAGCCCTCCAAGAGAATCTAGGGATCCGGAAATAGGCACACTGATTTCATTTAAAATAAAGCAACCCTTATGCTTTTTCTTTATTCATAGTAACTTTTGCTTGGAGCCATACTCCTCTAAGATAATACTGTAATCTGTTTCAAAAGCATTTTTATCAACTCGCCTAAGAAGAGCCCATTTGCCTGGTGGGTATCATTCCCAGGACTCTCCTAAGCGGCCAATATCTCATTGCCTTTGGAGCAGAGATCCACATTCAGCCAAGTCAAAAAAGTAAAAAGCAAACAAAACAATCTACTATGGCCACTGCCTGGTTCCTTCTCCCATAAATACTTGAAGGTGCATCCTTGTCAGGGACTGAAAAGTTAAAATGTGAACTTGATTGAGTTCCACTGTATTTGTATGTTATTATAGTTTTTTTCTCCCTTGCATTCTTCTTCTTCGAATGGTTTTAATTTTTTGTATGTGTGTGTGTTTGATAATAAAGTTATTTAAAAAAAAAACAAAACAAAACGTGAACTTGGGCAGTGCATTTGCAAGTCAACTTGCCTCTTGGCTATTTCAGGTCCAAAGTCAGCACCTGTTTGTTGGTCACTGACCCCGGGAGACAGCATGCAGTACGCCTCTCTCACAAGCTTCCTGGCATGCACTACAGCGCTGACGAGCAGTGCCAGATCCTGTTTGGCACCAATGCCACCTTCTGCAAAAACATGGAGGTAAGCAGCCCAGAAGGGCTGGCTCAGCAAGGGACACCAGCCTGGCCCTCCCTCAACAGGTCTGGCTTTGGCTAGCAGACATAGGTATTCACACTTAACACATGCACGTGCCTGCACACAACCACATGCATACGCACACATTCACAAGCACGATGTGCATGTGCACACACAGACATTTGCACACCTGTGCCCCAGATAGCCACCCACACGTGCACTTGCAGCCACCCCTTCACACAGAGGCAGCTTTGCAGGGGGATGTGTCAGGGTTATGGTGGACATTGGTAGCCTAATATTTCAGCATGGCAACTTTAGGACTCCAGAGCAAGGAAATGAAGTCATACTTCTTAGAAGTGATATAATATCACCCGACTTCAAACCCTGCACCGATGAGGAAGAGAGCACTTAAAACTGTTAAATACTGGAGAGTATCAAATGGAGATTTAACAAGTAATAAATTGAAGGGGCCGGGGATTTAGCTCAGTGGTTTCACCGCCTGCTGTGCAAGCGCAAGGACCCGAGTTCGATCCCCAGTACCAAAAAAAAAAAAGCCAGAAAAAAAAAAGAAGTAATAAATTGATCATATGATAATAGTAATAAACCATTAAACAGCATTTATTGAACAATGTCCACATATAGTGCTAAAGTTTCCAACCTGCATGATCACAGTTAGCTCTCATGACTCCCTAGATTATATCCTCTGGTTATAAGCAGTGATGCCAAGTCAGACTATGTAATCATTCAAAATGGTTAGGCCGGTAAGTAGTAGAGCGAGAATTCAGACCCAAACCTGGTCACTCCTAGAGCATATACTTTTGCATTGTGTTGCAAACAGGAAGGCCCATAGCTTGGCCAGTTTTGGAGGCAGAAGGTGCCGTGAGGGACGTACTGGTACCTGGGGATGGGCATTTGTATGTTGTGGCCACCTATGTAACAGAGAGGGCAGGCCCTGGCCTCAGAAGGTCAAAGCAGGTGGGGGGCCAGTTGCCACTTGGCACTGGCAAAAGCCTGTACAGTACTACAGAGGGGCAAAAGGACAGGAGAGAAGTAGGTAGCTGGGAATGGTGCTCAGAAGCCACCTAACAGGCTCTTAGCTGGGGTGATGTGCTTTCTACCATTGTTTGGGGTGTGAAAAAATGACAGCACTTCAAAACCAGGCTGGTGCCTCCTCCAGCTATTTTCTCCAAGGAAACTTACCATGGTGTTGTCCTGAATCCTCCTCTGCTGTGCCCCTGGGCTCTGTGCCAGCAAGGCTCCCCCTCCAGGCCTGTCTCAGGGGAAGCCATCTCCCACCTCCAACCCCCTAGATACCCTATACCTCCCACCCCCAGCAGTAGGGTTGGACGCCTTCAAGGGAAGGTGTGAATAACTCCAGGATACAGTCATCCCCAGCAGCCTGCCATACTGCCTCACCTCACACTCACTGTAAAGCGCTACGTGGCGCTTTATTATGGCTCTCATTGCTGTACACATATGCCTACCAGGAGCATCCTGTTTACTTGCACCCAGCTTCCACCCTAAAGTGAGTTGATGGCGCAGAAATGTCAGAACAGAATAGATTTCAGGGTAGTTTTGGATGGCGTGATAATCAGTACAAAAGTAGTACGAGGTCATGTGGATGGGACCTTCTGGAGGACACTGAGCATTTAGAAAAAAGCAGAAAAGCCTGGGCTCCCAGTGGGGATAAGGAGATGCTCTCAGTGGAGTTGAGGACACAGAGTGGCCACTGTGCCCAGTGGGGAATCCTGTCCCAGGCTCATGAGATGGGGCAGGGCCAGGAGTAGCCAGTCCTGCTGGGGTAAGCTTGAATGGGTTGGGAGCTGGACAAATAATACTCCTTCCTTGCAGATAGAGCCATTTTCCTCTTTGAGAGCTCAGCGATTGCATACTCACTGGGTGAGGCTGAACTGAGAGAGGGAAATACATGTATAAGGAGCCCACAATCTCCCAAGCTAGACTGTTTCTTTGAACTATTGCATGAAAACTCTGAGGGTAACCCTTGAGACAAGGACTTTAAACCCAATTTTAACAGATGAGAAAACAGGGAACAAGGGAGATTAGGTGATGGGCTAGGAAAACCCAGCCAGAAAGGGATGTGTAAAAAGGGAAACCCAGGTGTGTCTGTCACTGAGGGAGAAAGACTGCCCTTGTTCAAACACAGACCCCAATAAGTAGGCTGCATGGTATTCTGTGTTTCTTCATTACCATCCTTTTGTTTAAAGAGGATGATTAAAGGTGGGCAATTGATGATTATCTCATTGTTATAACTTTTTCAAAATCCAAATGTATAAACATTGAGTTCTTCTCATTTGTAAATGAAGTCAAACATTCATTCCTGCAGCTCACCAGGCAACTGATATTTTCCTACTTGCTCTTTTCTGGAGAGTTTCACCAATAATCGAATAAAATAAGTTGGCACTTTCCACTCTGATTATTTGCAGGAGTGATTACTTGAGGAAGGAGAGTAATAGCAGTCACTTTGGTGGCCACCAGCCTCAGTCACTGGTCATAGTTCTGCTTGCAAGACTAGTGATGTTTCCTTTAGGGCTCTGACAGTGAGGTGGCAGCAACTGTTTATACTGCAGAACATGTCACACTAAGTTTCTGGTACTCCTGGCAAAGATGGGACAGAAGAGTACCTGCTCCCCGTGATGCCTTGACAGCCAAGGACCTGGGAGATAGCCTTTGAGTCAGATCCAGACCAAGACAGCGCTGCAGTTCAGGACTCTAGGACTCATTACATTGTCATTCTGCTCCTCCCATCCCTTGGGAGACCTGTGTTCTAGATGATCTGTATGGCAGGATTGTGTAAGGCTGCTATCATTGTTCTGTTCTTCCTGGAACATAGTCTCGTTGGTGCTGATAATGTGCTTTCCCCATCCCCTTCTGTGCCCCTCATCATCCACTATGTTCCAGCTATACTGATCATCCTACTCTCCCAGGATCCCAACAGGCTCCTGCCAGCAGAAACACATCCTGCTGCATGCAGCTTTTTTCTCTGGCAACTTCTCTCTTAGTTATCTGCACGACTAATTCTCTCAAGTTTTATGAGTTTTGGTTTTTGTTTTCAATGTGCCCTTTACAATGAGGCCCACCCTCATCACCTTATTGGAGACTATAATCTGAGATCCCTCTCCCTGCCAACCCTTAAGTTACCTCTCCTGGCTCTCTCAGGGAGAGCTCTACAGACACTCCAGACACTGATCATCTTTTCCCTTGCTGTATAGTTCACTTACTTATGACTATGATTTGATAATTTCCCTTTTCTAGGCTATGAACCCTTCCAGGGTAGGAACTTTTGCTTTTTCACTCATCAGTGTTTCTCAGTTGCCATGACCAACACTTAGTACGTATTAGGGGCTTAATAAGTAAATATTATCCTTTGATTCAGCCATGACCCTAACACCAGTTTGTAAAGTCCTTCTTATATGACTTTACTCAACTGGTGATGAATCAGTAAACAAGCTTAGAATTGAGAAAGAGATGCTTAGATTCTTCCATGTGTGATGTATTACTCTCAGCTTCATGCTTCTCTGTCTGATTCACCAACATCACACATGAGACTTTGTCAAGTGTCTTGCAGGCATCCCTACGAACCACTCCCATGGCTTCCTCCCAGAACAAGAAACCATTCAAGGCAATGCAATGAGTCTAGAAGCAAGTGACCCCAGGCTGGTTCCTTGTGATTGTCTCTCTTTCTCTGTGCCTTTGTGTCCTCACTGATAAAATCTCAAGCTTCTGGGAAGTTACTATAGGTAAAGTACTAAGAAACCAGTCTGACAAAAAGTCAGTCCCTAGTAAGGTGAGCTGATACTTATGCCATTATTTCTTTTCTAGATAATGCTGATGCCTGTCAGTGAGGAGACAGAACTAATCTGTCTATATATCTCTAAGATCAGTGTTTCTCTACATACAACTCCAGGGGCTATGAAATATTAAGCATTTTCTAAAACAAGTGCTTCTCATGCAAACAGATATCCAGATCCAACCAGAAAAGACTTTTAACACATTCACAACAGGGACATAATTAGTATGTCTCGCTGCCGGGCAGCTCTCAACCATTGGGAAGGTCATGCATGTAATTCTGGTGATTCAAGCTGATAGTAATGTGTTAATCTAATATCATAATTGATCTTTGTAGTCATTTTTACTCTTTCATATTCTTGATTGAAATGGACATTATGTTATGAAATGATCATAGTCTCTTAAATTGCCCTTAAATTTCTTACACCAAATTCTGCTTCTAGCCAAGATGGGATAACAGGAATCGGGTTTGCTCTATCATTGAAAACAATGACATAATAAAAGAAAGGAAAACAAGAGAAACAGAATGATAAATTTTTAAGTTTCTGGACATCAAGCATTGAAGGCCTGTGACCCTTGAATGATGAGTAACCAGTGAGGCCTATTGCATGGACAGCCTCCTGGCTGCAGCACAGGGAAATAGAACTAAGAGGAGGCAGCAGTCTTCCTAAGTTGAGAAAATGGAATGGAGCTGGTTGTACAAGGACCTGAAGCAGTTGGAGTTCCAAGGTTGAGTACAGTAAAAGAAAGAGCTGCCAAACAGAGAATCTAAGAGATCTGAAGAGGGTCCTCCGTGAATATTCACCTTAGTGGTCAGTTCATGTGTGTGAGAAAATGACCCAATGCCAGGAAAAGAATCAGCTGAAAAGGTTCAAGGGAACAATCTCAGGAGCTCACATAGGAATAGGGTAGAGTGCACAGAGGGTTTTGCTTCAGTAGTGTGGCAAAAGTAACCTTAAACTAAAAGCTTATGTGATGCTACCTAACAAAACTGCAAAGCAAGATCAGAAAGGATCAGACTGTTTCCAGATAATTTAAGCCTTGGAACAAAGCTCAGATATGTTTATAGAATTCCAAAACTATTCAACACTCAGTAAAATAAATCACAGTGTCTAACATTAAATAAAATACTAACAAATGTAAATACATCCATAATGAGGAAGAAAACAAAATTAATCCACAGGTAATAGAATTACCTG